TTCAGTCTTCCTTTATGCGAGTGTGTGAATCCAGTTTAGTTTGGTAGGCGTCTGATCATGGTGAGCCACGGTTTACCCAGCTAATGTGGGACAATGTGTGTGACAACGCCCCTTATAGTTATAGTGTATTCAGTTCGGTTTTTGAACTCCGATGTTCCTGGCGGATTGTGCCAGCGTTGTGCAGCAAGAGTGCTGTGGATTTTCAGGTCCTATTTGGAGGACAGTTCTTTCCCCTTTTGACCCCGTGAGATCGTGTGAACCTGGTGTGCTTCTACTTTATGATTTGTTATCAGTTCATTTCTTCTGTCTACTCTAAACGTTATCATTTCCGATATAATTTGCCATCTTCCGGTTGACGCTGTGTTCGTAACTCTTCACTAATTTTTTGAAAACCACGAGGGCGTGATAATCTGTAGGAAGGGAGGGTGTAGTATCCCTGCCCGACCAATACGGAAGCAGTACGGAACTAATACGGAGCTTGCCTGATGTATATTTAGTGTATCTCCGTATGTAAGCGTACGTCGTCTGCTGCATAAAAGCGGCTGCGCATTTCTGTTTTGATGAAGAGAAGATTAGATTAGATTGGATAGCAATGAAAGCTAACTCGAAGAATAAGGATTCAGCCTCTAGGTGAGCACCGGAGAGAAAGTTATTTATTTTGCCGCTTCTTCTTTCACTAACGATTATATCTCAGGTGTGTACCTGAAAGTAGAATAAAAGTAATTGTTGTTGATTTCACCGCGCCTACCACTCGGCTACCCATTACAATAGTATATCTTCCACCATTGAAATTTCGAATTTCTTCAAAAAAAGGTCTGAGAGGGGTGGCTTGCAACCTCGATATGGCTTGTTCCAGGCATGCTTTGGAGCCATCTTCTGTTGAAGTAGTGGCGGGGATCTGCCCTGCAACTGCTACAACAAAAAATGATTCGATCTGAGAAAGGGTGAGTCCGCGAATCTCGGTTGAATATTGAGTATTTCAAGCCTTTTCACGACGAAGATGGAGTTCTTTTTGGAGATGGACGTCGCGGCAAAGGACATGGTGTCCGACTTCTGGCGTCAGGTGAAGCCAGGGATCATTTGTCCAGTCAGGTCGGCAGCCTAACCGTCGGTAAGCTTGTGTTTGGATCCCGTTCTGCTCGATGTGGTAGATCACAAACAATTTGATATCGCACAAATTGATCTCAGCATCGTGCGTACGGTATTTTATATTCAGAAAATCCCAAAGTGTCTCTGTGTGGCCGTCCTATGCCACGAGAAACTCCAATCAGGCTCCTATGTCCTCTGCCTTCATGATTGAATGTCCACTTCGTTTGAACAACGAACACAACAATCGAGGACGGCTTTGCAATGAAAAATACAGCTATACTGGAGCTGAAAAAAAGAAGAAAAAAACGTGCTCAGGATGAGACTCGAGTACACGCATACTCTCCCAGCAGGTGAAACGCAAATTTTTGTGTAAAATGCGTGTCGCCGACTGACCAGTAATTTCGCCTGACGAGAAGCTATAAAACTTAGCCAAAGCCCCGAGAAGCTATAAAACTTAGCCAAAGCCCCGAGAAGCTATAAAACTTAGCCAAAGCCCCGAGAAGCTGTAAAACTTAGCCAAAGCTCCGAGAAGCTATAAAACTTAGCCAAAGCCCCGAGAAGCTATAAAACTTAGCCAAAGCCCCGAGAAACTGTAAAACTTAGCCAAAGCTCCGAGAAGCTATAAAACTTAGCCAAAGCCCCGAGAAGCTATAAAACTTAGCCAAAGCCCCGAGAAGCTATACAACTTAGCCAAAGCCCCGAGAAGCTGTAAAACTTAGCCAAAGCCCCGAGAAGCTATCAATCTTAGCCATATGCCCCAGAAGTTATCAAGCTTAGCCAAATCTCCGAGAAGTTATGAAACGTAGCCAAAGATCCGAGAAGCTATGAAACTTACCCAATCTCCGAGAAGATATGAAACTTAGCAAAGGCCGAAGAAGCTATGAAGGTTAGCCTAACTCGGAGAAGCTATCTAACTTAGCCAAGGGCCCGAGAAACTATCACAGGCACCTCTCACGCAAACCGAAACCAGAGTACTCTAATTTCAGAAAATTTCGGTGCTCAATATTTTCGGTATGAGGGGGAAAGGCCAGGTCAGGTGAACAGAAATTTTAGGTACAGAGAAGCAGTTCCCTATTGGTTTATGTGTGTGTTAGGGTTTGTTCGGTGTGTTGAAATTTTAGGTATGAAACAGATGCACCGAAAGTACCGAAAATGAAAGTACACCGAAAATTGGTGAAATCACAGTATGTAGAAACCGACTGAGCCTGGGTTTTAGAGAAAATTGAAAGGACCCCTACATATTAGTGTCCAACCGAAAATCTCTTCTGCTTGCACTCTCAACTCCTTACACACGAATGAGAGGTAACTGGAGGCGAGGCACACAGCTTCCAGCTCCAGGCGAGCCAATGTTGGCGCCGACACTGGTGCCACCTTGCTCTTACCACACAGCAGACATGCTACACCGTCAACTACGATGTAAATGCAGCAGCCATAACCCTTCTCTGACGCATCCGCAAATACATGTAGTGTTACAGGCATGTCGGGCTTACCGCCGATCCACCGCGGAACCTTCACAAGCGAAACATTGGAGACATCTCCCCACCATTGCGCACACTTGGCTGCGATATCACTCGGAAGCGGCTGGTCCCAGGTGCCACCCAGTTTCCAGCACCATTGCAGCAGGATCTTCCCTGGTAGTACCGCGGGTCCAGCTAGACCAAGCGGGTCAAATACGGATGCTACACAGTGCTGCAGAAGTTGCCGCCGGGTCCACGGTGACTCCTTGTTGTCAGTGTCACCTACTGCTGCTACCGTGATCACATCGTCGTCGATGTCCCACTCGACCCCTAGCACCTTGCCGCCTGACTCTGGATCGCAGACGATGTTGTTGCCACGCTACTTTCTCTAATCCATTCCTGCACCTTGCAGAGCTGCCACACTACACTCTCGAAAATGGTTGGCTTGGGCAGGACTAGACACACTAACTACCGAATCATCAGCATAAAAACTATCACGTAACAGCGCAAGCATAGCACGATCATCATCATTAGTGCATCCAAGCAGCCTAGCTAAATGGTGCAACAATACAGCATTCAGAATATAGGGGGAGCAATTGGCTCCGACTGGCAATTTCGTGAGCCGCCAGACACATTTCGCTTTCGCCCAGCTCGGGCCACACAAAGTGCAAATATGGCCTATCCTCTTCTCTAATGCCTATCATGAAGAAAGCCTTCCTAATGTCCGCTTGTAATGCAAACTGACACTCACGAAACCGGAAGAGAAGGCCCACCAGATCGGGTAGTAGCGATGGTCCTGGGCTCAACAGGTCATTCAACGATGACTTCCCTGTTGCCGATGCCGACTCGTTGAAGACTACCCTTGTCTTGGTCGTAGCGACATGCTCCCTGAAGATGGCATGATGTGGCATGTAGTAGCCGGGCTGTTCGGCGTTCGGCTCTCTTTTGATAGCTCCAAGCTCACAAAATTTGATCCAACCGACTAGGCTCACACAACTCAGTTTTGGGATATATACTTTGCAGGAAAATATATGATACAGGTGAAAACAAGAGAGAAAGAAAACTACCCGTCCATCACGGAAGGAACAACAACTAATCTGGAAAGGAAAATATCGAAGAAACAAGCAGCGCAAGCGAAAGCCAAAACGCTCTCCTCAGCAGAACGTGCACGTCCACGTGCGCCTACAAAGCACCCACAGCAGCGCAGACAAAGCCAACGTATTACTGTGACGAAGTACACTAATCTACATGCATCAAATAAGGACACCACACGTACCCAAAAAGTAGACCGATCTGCAAAAGGGTACACGACTGAGTAGCGTCCGCGTAGCCGTGCCAAATAAACGCAAAGAAATTGAAACACAAATAAATCGAACCACAAATATATCGAACCGCAAATAAATCAACTAGTAACACTGAGACAATTCGACTGTCACAAATAACAACAAAGATCGCAGGCAAGAAGTCCTTTCACTTCGACTACCGCTCGTTGCATGACAGCTGTGTTCCCCTGCGGCTCCGCTGCTCCGCAGCACTTGGCTGCATGCAGCGGAGCAGCGCAACTGCGGCTCGCAGTTTTTGATCAAGAATCGTAGAGAGAGCTCACGGTGAGCCGCGGCCTGCATGCTCCGGCGCAAGCTGCGGTCACTATGGTAATGATGTTTCAAGCCGCGGATGACGAGCAGCGGAGCAGCGGAGCCGCAATGGAACCCGGCCCTTATGGGATAAACAATACAGTATACCTGTGTTCGCCGGTCCTTGTACCAAGCGAAATCCTGTATTGACCAGACGAATTAAATTGTTATGCACTGAAGTGCTGTGGCTCGAATGTCCTTCCTGGATCAAGCTGAAGCCTGTGTTACCAGGACAGTTTACGCCGCACCAAGGGCGTCCGGTTAGGGCAGGTTTTATTGTACAGTACAACCTGGTTTAAGTGACCACCCCACGGTGCAAGCAAAAGCGGTCGTTAAAGCCAGGTGGTCTTTAGAACCAGGTCCCACAGTTTCTGTGTAGGACTGTCGGTGCATGGAAAAACGGTCGTTAAGAGCAGGTGGTCGCTAAACCCAGAGGTCGTTAAGAGCAGGTGGTCGCTAAACCCAGAGGTCGCTTGCACCAGGTTTTACTGTGCTACCGATTGCCCCACGCAACACAATTCTGCATGACAGCATGCAAAGTTGCTCTAGTGATTTGTGCACTGCCCGTTCCGCCTTGCCAAGTCTGGGGGCGAGGGCACAGAACAGCTGGCTTGTCTTTTTTTTTTTGTCTTTTCTGTCCTTGGCTGTCAGCTGCCTCCTTAGCGCAGTAGGCAGCGCGTCAGTCTCATAATCTGAAGGTCGTGAGTTCGATCCTCACAGGGGGCACTTCTTTTTTTCTTTTGTTTTCTTCATTTACAATTTGAATTGTTGAGTCACTACAGGACATTTTTTCTTTTGTTTTTGTTTTTGTTCTGCTCAGCTTGATGAAGAGTACCACAAGCATCTCCAGCACAAACTCGCTAGGTAACTTGGCCTATTTCCGAATTGTGGTCCGGCTTTGTACGGGTATTTAAAAACATCTGTCTTTGAAGAGCTGGAATCAAAAACCCGCTCTAAGCGCCAAATTTGCGAAATCAGATTTTCAGCTTAGCGTAGTCAACAGGTCTAGGGGTGCCAACAGGCACAATTTCATGTCCAAATTCTGACTAGAACCGTTTAAAACTGGAACCCGAATATGGATTTTAATGTAAAACCTCACATGCATGTAAAATGAATCCTTTTTTGGCCATTATCCGAAAAGTGATGAAATGCATTCAGTGGGTTTTGCATTCCAGCCAGTCTTCGTTTTGCTTTCGTACATTGTGAAGGGTGCCCCATTTCTTTTCCAAGTTTGTTGCTTATAAAAATCTGTGTGCATGTACGTGCATGCGTGTGCGTGCGTGTGTGTGTGTGTGTGTGTGTGTGTGTGTGTGTGTGCACGTGCACATGTGTGTGTGTGTGTGTGTGTGTGTGTGTGTGTGTGTGTGTGTGTGTGTGTGTGTGTGTGTGTGTGTGTGTGTGTGTGTGTGTGCATGTGTGTGTGTGTGTGTGTATGCATGTGTGCATGTGCGTGTGCGCGCACGTGGCGTGCGGCGTGCGTGCGTGCAGTGTATCCGGTGTGTTTTACCATGAGCAGGTAGAGCAGCCATTTCTGCATCATCTCATGCAGCTGTGCTGCGCTGTGGTCAACTCATCGCTGTCTGAAGGCATGTGTCAAGCCATCCTGGAGGTTAGTAGAAGTCACTAGTACTGGAAACCGCCCAATATTCGCGTCACTAAATTTTCACGATTTCTAAGAACCAACAAGTTTACGATGGCAAAAGTTCGCGAAGCACCGGGGCCACCTATATACACCCACTGTTGAAGCTTGATTTCACGCTGGTTAGTATTCGCGTTACGCTCTTCTCGCGAAAATAGTGAACATTAATCCGTCGCGAATATTGGCCAGTTTACAGTAATGCAACATTCATCTGTTTGCTGCAATTGGTCACTGCTCACCTACCTAAAGTCATTGGTATTATTTATATGAGTTTCTGGTTACCCGTAGTTCCGTTGTTCTCTGGTATGGTGGCCATTCCTTTCTCGTGTTTCTATGTTGGGCCGTGTATTTGATCATGGAGAGATATGTGCGTGCATGTGCTTGCATGTGCATGCACGTGTGTGTGTGTTTGTGCATCTGTGTGCATTTGTGTGTGTGGGGGGGGGGGGGGGGGGTGTTTGTGTGGGTGTGTGGGTGGGCGTGCGTGCGTGTGTGTTTGTGTATACGTGGGCGCATGTGTGTACATATGTGTGTATGTACGCGAGTTCCTCTCTCCCCTCTCCCGGGGAGACCAACGTGACCGGTTTTGGCACGGTGAGCAAGTACAGAACAGAACAGTACATGCTTGCAGTCATGTGTACTTACGGTACATGTAAGCTTTGATTGATAGTTTCCGCCTCGTAACATGCTGTCAACCAAGCCTCTTTTTACGGGCAAAAATTAACACAATGAATTGAAATGCAATAAAACATACACTGGAGAAGAAATCAGAAAAAAATGCATGTGTTGTTCTTTCAAATCTTTATTCTCACGATAACCAGTGGCCAATAAGAGTTGTTGTCGTTGTTGTTGTTTATTTATTTAGAGTCGAAGAACAAACAGGCAAATTTGCCTAATTACATGATATTGACTAAAAAGATTTTCAAACCCAAACCGAAAAAAAACTTCAAATCTATTTTTTTATAATTAAAAGCTGTCAACCGCCCAACATGTGTATGTGTATCTACGTGTATCCCATGCAGGCAATCGTACATGGTGCACCGGTGATAGCCCGTGACATCGCTGGTAACCGAGAACTGATCAGCCACCGGCACACTGGTCTTCTCTACGCAACACCCGAGGTAAGCAGAGAGAGGTGGAGGTGCCGTGTGTGTGTGTGTGTGTGTGTGTGTGTGTGTGTGTGTGTGTGTGTGTGTGTGTGTGTGTGTGTGTGTGTGTGTGTGTGTGTGTGTGTGTGTGTGTGTCTGTCTGGTTCTCTGGTGTCTGTGTGTGCCAGGGGGTGTATCCCATGTGGTGCAGTGGTATGTGGAGTCGATTTCCAATGGAGAGGTTTCGGGTTCAATTCCTGACAATTATGATCGCACACGTCTTTCTTCTCTTTCTCATTCTCCTAGCTCTGGAGTATGTGGTGGTGTGTGTGAAAAAAATGAAAAAATGTGTTTAGGAACACATTAAGCCAATCAGCAAGGTAACAGTCCTTTCTTCTTTCTTAATTTTTACTATTGGCTCAGCATCCGAGATTAGAATTATTACCATCAGGTGTTAACTATTTCTTTTGTTTCCGTATCTCACTGTTCACAGGAGTGTATAGCTCTTGCCCGTGAGCTGAAGAACAACCGTGACCTACACGCCACCATAGCGGGTAATGCTTACCAGTTCATTCAGCGTCGACATGGTGTGGCCAGTGAGATTGAAACCTACCGTCGGATTGTCTCCGGCCCGGCTTGACCGAACCAAGGCACAGCTAACAACACCTGCTTCACGTCTTATCTTGGGGGGTATCACTATGGTGGATATGCACTAACTCTTGCCTGGTGTTTTGCTTGCTCGGTAGGGGACTCCCCTGAGCTGGCAACAATAAACCTGACGTGGCCGTGTTTGTGGCCATGGCCACTGCGCCAGGGGCGGTGGTGTACCAAGACGCAATGCACTGTGAAGCGATAGTGTTAAAAAAGCCAGACGCAAAAACGATGCAAAATCACTTTGTCTCGTTTTTGCGTCAGGAGGGAGATGTTTGACTAACAACTCCATCAGACTGTTTCTAGGCAAGGGCGCCGAGCTGAACACAAACGAAAGGCTTTGCCTCTGTTGCCAGTAGTCGCTGCACTACACGCATCAGGTATCAGTGATTTGTCCAGTGCAGTCGTACTAGCCTCGTACCGAATAGCACTTGTCTGTGTTCTGGGTTTGTGTGCACATTGCCAGTCACTTCTCGTCCTTCAAGTGCTCTGGACTATTGATTATTTATGTTTATGAGTATTCGGCGTGGAGACGATAATTTTTAAATTTTAATAAGAGATACTCACGCTTATTTATTTTTTATAATTACTCAAGTATTCTCGTATCCGTTCCCAAGGGAACTGAATAATTTTTAAATTTTAATAAGAGACACTCACGCTTATTTATTTTTTATGACAATGAATAAAGCGAGAGGTGCACCAACAGCAAGGACCCAACCTTGATCAAAACCTTGAACTGCAAGACCGCCATTGCACATACTGTGGTCTTTTTTTCCTTTGAAACTCGTTTCAATAAACGCTTTAAAACATACCCGGTATATACGGGTACTTGATTTTACCGGCCGCTTTTGAAGCATTTTAGAAAATGGAAAGGTTTGCTCAATCAATGTGATGTTTCTGACTAAATACGGGATGTGTGGGTCAGCTTTTGTGCGTGAAATCCGGGCCAATGTCTTGTCAGAATCGCGAGTGTGGCACGACACCGGGTGTACTCGTGTGTACTGCGTCGGAGTCTCCTCCGTGCTCCCTTGTTTTGAACTCCAGCATTTTGAAAAATCTAGAATGATTTTCAAGCACATGTCAGTGTTCAGTATTTAAAAGTGTGCTAATTCCATGCAGCTCTTGTGACGAATCTGATGATGTTTCTGTACCTGATGCTTGTCTCACTGTCTAGTTTTCGAAGCCAATGCCCTCTCACTTCCGGTACTCTGTCCCTCTGGCAGTCCAGCACCTCTTTCTGTCCCTCCTGCAAACCTGTCCAGTCTGGGTTCAACTAACTTTCTCACTTGAAGTTTCATGTGCAGTAAAACCTGTAACTAAAGACCAACGTGACTAGCGACCAGCCTGGTACTGCAGACCACTTCGCCAGGCACGGACGGTCTCACATTCATTATTATAGTTGTGCTGTGCAAACCGCTAAGTAACTAAGGACCACCTGCCACTAAAGACCGCTTTCTCTGGCCCCAAGGGGTGGTCGTTAGTCACAGGTTTTACTGTACAGTGTTTTGCTAGGTGAAATCCGACCGTAGCTGGGTATGTGGCACCCAGGACTTGCACGAACATTGATTTATATCTCATGCCCTTCGTATTAAAGTGCATGCAGCGGTGTAAGAATTCTGGTAGACGAACACCATGAACACAATGTCATGTTCACATGGGGACTGAGGTGATGTCCTGGTAACTAGTAGATCATCTACAGGGCAAAAGCTTTGCACTTTTGGGTCGGATTTCGCCCAGAGCACCTGTACTACTGTAGTCACTTGCCTGTAGCAGTTCTACACCTGAAACTCACGCCGTCGCGGGTAGTTTCTGAGCTGCTGCTATACAATACAACTAACTATACAATGAGTAAAGACAGTATGCAGTGCGGCTAGTAGTAATACTAGTACTAGAGACCGAAAAGTCAGCCAATAGTTGCACCCCAGGGCCATCACTTGAAACGTTGCATGCAGGCAGGCGACACAACATGTTGCACAGTGTACAGAATCAGGAGTAAACGCGAATCACTCTGGCAGTCTGGGTAGAAGTTCAAGAATGGTTCACAGAGCGGCTCTACGTGGAGTAGAGAGTAGCCTGATGCCGATGATGCATGACCGGGATTCTGGGAAAACACAGGAAGACTGCGTAAGTTAGTTTGATGCGATAATTGCCAAGTCCATAGTGATTAGCTTTTGTGTGACTGTGTCTAGAACGAGTACTGTGGTGTATTGTACGTTATAAAGCCTGTCACTATACATGACTTGTATTGAGATACACACAAAAGGCACAACGGAGGTTTAGGCGACTATAGTCTATAGTCGCAACTGATGATTGCATTGAGCAAGAAACTCAGAGTTGCGACAAATCTGTAAAACTCCATTGTACCTTTTATTCAAATAATCTACGTGGAGATAAAAGTTTAATAATAGCAATGAAAAGTATGAATGCCGCAGACATCACCACGCAACATGACAATTTGTTCAAGGTTTGGTTTTGTGTGTTTCCAAAATCGATTTTCACGTTGCGATCATCAGTGGAAATACGCAACTAAAGAGATCAAGGGAAAACAAAGGTTTAAAAATCCAAAGAAGTGTGACACATGACGGGTAACTTGTGGTAAGTATTACAAAAAGTGAGAACTAAAATAAAGAGTAAGTGTGACAAACGGGCATGAACAGTGCAGAAACAACTCATGAACACGGGGTGCAAACTCACGAAAATAACCTAAGTGCTAAAACATGTTCTTTTTGCTTACACAAATCGGGCTTATGCGTACGAATACAAACAGCTTCAAGGACCTTCAACTGCTGGACATAACGGGCACGACACAGTACAGAGAAGTGGGAATCATCATACACACTCAAACAATCGGGACGAGATAACAAATGCAAATACACAGCTGACTTCTTACGAATTTCACCCTCATCAGCTCCATCACCTTCCCTGCCACCTGACTCCTCCTTGTCCGTTTTATCACCATCACCACCAGCCGTCTCTCCGTCATCCGCCTCGTCTTCATCCGCCGCCTCGTCATCACCCGCCTCGTCGTCATCTGTATCCTCGCCGTCATCCGCCTCGTCGTCATCTGTATTCTCGTCATCCGCCGCATCATCACCCAACTCATATTCACCACCAGTCAGTCGTCTGATACCATCCATGTTCTCCTTCCTACGTCTGTCCCGTGTCACTGTCCTTACCTCATCTACGTCCCGAGATTGTGTTCCGTTTTGCCCCCGGCTTCCGGTCTCCTTCGATGCTCCGCGTGGGCCTTGGCCATTCCTAGCATATATTTCGGTTGAATAATTGGCGGTCGACCTCCGTGGTCTCTGGACCCACGGATCAATCGCCGGAGGGTGCTGCGGTGTCCGCACAACCGGATACTGTGTCAAAGAAATGGGCTCAATTTCTGTGATTGGCGGTACTGTTGTTGTTGCCGACTCCTCCCCAACCCCAGCCACCAACGGCACTGGTGGTGGCTCCGGTGGCGGCAAGGGCAACGGTGGAGAAGGCACATTCGGTTGGCTTAGTGATCCACCACTCTTCCTCTGCACCGTGTGTTCGACTTGCTCTGGTTGTGTCGGTGGTAGAGGGAGCGGGTTCTTGCGTGGTCTTCCCCGCTTCGGGCGCTTCGCTTTTGCTGCGTCCTGCAGCATGTGAAGTGGTACATGCTGCTTGATACGTGCGCTCAGGTGTTGAAGGGTCCTACCAACGTACCGGCTATCACAATTCCGGCACTCAAATTGGTAGACCAAGTGGCTCAATAGGTGGGATGGTAGGACATCCTTCCTCACCGTGAACGCACGTATCGTAGTGAACACAGGGATGAAGTGCGCCGCAAAGTATGTTTGTGTAACTAGCGTTTTGATTGTGCGGCACAATGTCTGTGATGCCTCTCCTTTCCAAGGTAAGGAAAGGTAGACTGGGCAACGACTTGGACCAATGATGACGACCTTTGGTTTTGATGCTGATTTTAGTAGCTTGTTTAGCAGTTCCTCCGGGTAACCATTTTTGAGAAACACAGATTTCAGAAAACCTAGCTCATCCTTGAGTCGAGAGGGGGAACAGATTCGCCGCGCTCTATCCACCAGATTCTTCACCAGGTTGACCTTATACAGGTACGAACAATACGAGTCAAACACGATATATTGTCCGGTAAATGTTGGTTTCCTGTATATTGACGTTACAATTTCATCGTTTGACTTCTCCACACGCACATCTAGAAAGGACAAGGTGTTGTTCTGTTCATGCTCAACCGTGAATTTCAGAGAGGGATGTAAGTTATTCAATCGGTCCAAGAAGGCGTCACACGGTTGTGCTGAATCAAAATATGTGAACGAGTCGTCGACAAAACGAACGTAAAACTCCGGCCACAGTGACTGGTCCACAAGAGATTCGCAGTAGCCAACAAATATATTTGCCAACACTGGACCTAATGGTGATCCCATGGCTACCCCATCCACCTGCCTATACATCACGTTATCAAATGAAAACTCAACGCCCGTAGTAACAAGAGACATCAGTGTACGGAAGGAGGACTCAGGCAGCCATGGCGTGTCAACAGAGTTATTGTGATAGAGAACATCCGCACAAATATCTATGGTCTGTTCCAACGGTACATTCGTGAACAAACTGACCACATCAAATGAGCACATGTGCGCTGTAGCGGGAATCTGGCGAGTGCGAATGAGGTCTACAAACTGGAAGCTATCCTTGACAATGTTCTTACAGTAATAATCTTGCACAGCTCCAAGCATCAAACAGAGCCACTTCGATACTTTGTACTGTGGGGATGCTACCATTGATAATATTGGGCGTAATGGACAATTCGGCTTATGGATCTTTGGCAAGCCATAGAGTCGCGGGCGGGCGGAGCCTATTGGCTTGATTCTCATGAACTCTGAGACCGAAATTTCTTTCTCAGCTTTCAATTTCTTTAGGTATGGTATCAGGCGTTTCTCTACTTTTGTTGTATTATCATGAGTGGAAACTGGTCCGAGTTTCACGAACTTGGAGTCATCGTTCAGGATTACCGCCATTTTTGATATGTACTCTGTTCGGCTCATTATGACCGTTGCGCGTCCTTTGTCCGGTCTGGTAATTAAGATATCATGATTGTTACTGAGTTCACGTCGGACTTTGAGGTGTTCACGGGACAGGTAAAATTTGCTGCGGTCCGGCGGTTTTGCAGCATGTTCTTCCGCAACCGCTCTGATACTGGCAGTGCATACAGCCTGCTGGGCATCAGACACGGGCTTGAGCTGCTGAAGCTTCTTGTAGAATAATTCAAACTCCGTGAGTACTACCTCCTTCTTGTTATTGGCAGGAGGAATGCCGAAGTCAGTACCCCGACATAGCAGTTCCTTTTGAACGGTAGAGAGCTCAATGTTGGCTCGGTTAATGATGGTGTCTGTGTTGATCTGTATCGCGCCATAGCGTTTTGTGCGTAACCACTTCAGATTCTTCTCGTATTTCGCAATCAGCCTCGTCTGTAATTTGTTGTCATTAGCAGCAATAAGTGAACTAAATCGAAGATAGTCATGGGCAGAAAGGAATGAGCGAGCCACACAGTACAAACGTTTGAACTCACACTGTATAGTACAAAGTGTATCGGAGGACCGGGCGATATCATCCTTCAAGAATACTCTCTCTATTGTTAATGAGTGATACGCCTTGGCTCTGTGTACGCGCTTCTGTATGGCACTTGGACAAACGCCACTTTCCCGACACTGTTTAAGAAAAGAAATATTCAATGAAATGCAACGACAAACATGGCGTTTCCGCAGGGCGTTATTCAGAGTATCTATCTGTTCTCTAGAGTATCTCCGCTTAAAATATACAAATAATCTACGTGGAGATAAAGTTTAATAATAGCAATGAAAAGTATGAATGCCGCAGACATCACCACGCAACATGACAATTTGTTCAAGGTTTGGTTTTGTGTGTTTCCAAAATCGATTTTCACGTTGCGATCATCAGTGGAAATACGCAACTAAAGAGATCAAGGGAAAACAAAGGTTAAAAATCCAAAGAAGTGTGACACATGACGGGTAACTTGTGGTA